GTCTGTTAAGTTTAGCAAATAAGACTTAATTCTTGTTAAACTGTTGGCAATTCTTTTTTATAACAGTTTTTGTGTGAAGAAAAACACAGCAATATCTCATATATGAATTGTTGGCGCGTGCATTTTCCAACATTAACCAAAATAGAGAATTTAATTAAATTGTTGCTGAACTTAACAAGCTCAAATGGCCTTTTATGAATGTGAAATTAACATTATGTAATCATGGGCAGAAAAGGAGATTTTCTGACAAGGCATTCTAACTTGATCTCAGCTTATGAAATAAAAAAAATCTTCAAAAGACTGTAGACGAAGATGAAGATGACAGCAACTCCTTTTAAATAATCAAAATACATAACAGCTGTTGTGTGATGAAGTACACAACATGCTATAAGTGAATGTCTCCACTTGAGATTATCTTCAATAACTGTTATTAAGATCATTGTAATCTAATCAGTTATCAACTTTTTAATAATCTATTGATGAATTGCTCTATGACCTTGCAAAATATCTAAAATTACTTTATAAATAAGCTATAATTGATCAATTGCCCATTGCCCTTGTATTTGATTGCTTGTCCGTGCATTTTATGAAGATATTTCACCAATATTTTGGTAGCTCTCAAGATGGTGTGGATAACTTGACAGCAATTAAAAAAAGTTGATTAATACGTGACAAAGAGAAATTTATTGAACTACATGTACATGTAAATGTTAATCCAATCTCTTAATAGGTGTATTATTTGTTTATTTTTCTTCTGATTGTTTGTTTGCTTGTTTGTTTGAACTGGGATCAAGATACCTTGATTGTATGTTATTGCTTGTATGATGAAGGCACTTTGTTTGGTGTCAAGTGATATACAAACACAATAATGTTGATTGTATGTTTCCTGGTCAAAACAAGTTTGCTTGTTTGATTACAGTGTTTGCATGTGACTTATATGGCATTTGTGCATCCTTCTTTTCTTTCTGATTAAATTTTACATTTGACTCTCCCATCAAGCAAAATTAGTCACGTTGCATCAGGACGCCTTGTACCCCCTTTTCACTCTCGGGTAACATTCTCTGAGAGGTAAAGTGGGAAGCGGTACAATGTCTTAATGCTAGACTAACACAAAGTACACAAAATCAAAATCTGGAATCCAATAATCCCTGACCAGTTATTAGATTTGATGTCCAAATTGACAACTTATCAAATTAGGAATTGATTTCCAAGTATTAGACCCTAAGCCCTCCAAAGCATGCTGACAGGTTCTGTCTGAGGGGGTGTCTATGAGAACATCCATTGAAGATTTCTCCAATTATCTCCTCAATGGATGAAACTAAATGCTAATTAAGCTGGCATTATGTTACGCAATTTATTATTCATTGACAAGAGAACAGATAGATGTTCAGTGACTTAATCCTATTTTGATGATTGTATTTTCCTCAATATAGATCAGGCTCACAAGCGTCTTCTCACTATAATATTGGGAATATAGCTGAGTTGCTTGCTTGTTGTTGGTATTTGTTTTGATAATATTGCTGCCTGATTTTCAAAATGGCACGTAACTCAACCTATAATACATGGCAACTAAAAAGGGTACTACAGTGAAACCTGTAAAGTGGAACATCTCTAGAGGTGGAAAACCTCTGTTAGTGGAACACTTTTCAGAGTCCCAAGCCCAACTGACTTAATATTAAATTAACCTCTATAAATGGAACACCTCCCCAAGCAAGTAGAACATTAGACAGGGTTTACTGTATACTATGGGAATATGTATACATCCAATAGTACAATAACTAGCAACATAAACAAGGCATGCAATACAATAACTGGCAACATAAATGAGGCATGCAATACAATAACTGGCAACATAAATGAGGCATGCAATACAATAACTAGCAACATAAATGAGGCATGCAATACAATAACTAGCAAGACAAATGAGGCATGCAATACAATAACTAGCAACATAAATGATGCATGCAATACAATAACTAGAAACATAAATGAGGCATGCAATACAATAACTAGCAACATAAATTAGGCATGCAATACAATAATAACTAGAAAGACAAATGAGGTATGCAATATAATAACTAGCAACATAAATTAGGCATGCAATACAATAATAATAGCAACATAAATTAGGCATGCAATATAATAACTAGCAACATGAATGAGGCATGCAATACAATAACTAGCAACATTAATAAGGCATGCAATACAATAACTAGAAAGACAAATGAGGTATGCAATACAATAATGAGCAACATAAATGAGGCATGCACTACAATAACTAGCAACATAAATGAGGCATGCAATATAATAACTAGCAACATAAATGAGGAATGCAATATAATAACTAGCAACATTAATAAGGCATGCAATACAATAACTAGAAACCTAAATGAGGCATGTAAAACAATAACAAGCAACATAAATGAGGAATGCAACACAATAACTAGAAACATAAATGAGGTATGTAATACAATAATAATAACTAGCATCCTGATTGAGTAACTTCACTTAATACCTAAAGGTGTGGGAAGGGATTTGATAACAGGTATTGATATGAGTCACATCAGATTAATGCAATTAATACAAACAATTATATTTTTGTCGATCTAGATCCTGCAATGAACATATACTCTTTAAGTTTAAGTTTCTGATTCGTGTATTCCTGAACAAAAATTACTTGATCTTTTAAAACTAGAAACAATATGGAATATCTATGAATGTTCATCACTCTGAAATTGAATATACACATATTAGAATAAATAATATGGATTGTGTTTAGATCTCTAGGTCGAAACTTACAGAAAATGTCTTAACCTCAAATAAAGAGTTTAAGGTGGTACTGATCGTAAAGTGGTGAATGGTGTAGTTATGAGAGGGGTGCTTTGCACTGGGATAGCCCACAATAAAACTGGCGCCTAGAACTACAGCTCATTGACCAATTTCACAACATAATTTCTAGTTTTTTACTGAGTGAGAATTGAGATAAGGGCAAGTGGCTAAGAGCCTGCCTTGCAGACAAATCTCACTTAGATTCTTCTCAAAATCACTTTTACAATTTGTATAGAATTACAAGAACTCTGTCCAATATTAGTGCTTTTTGAACCATATGAATAACCTAATGTTAAAGGAGTTCACATCTTGCCATTCAATCATGCATTAACTCTTTGAAGTCATTGCCATTTCACTGGTTTTGCACCTGTTGTTTCCTATATCTATTTTTCCAAAACATGTGTTCATGGGACATTCAACCACAATGAAAGTATCAACTGACAAATATATGTGACATCAGACTGAAAATAGTTCAGTTGTGGCTGGGACAAAAAAATTAACACCATAAATGATCAGGAAATTGTTCTTTGAAGTACTTCACCAGCGTGCCAGTCTTTAGCATCTTGAATATCCAAGGAACTGAAAATGAACATGAAACCAATCTTGTTCATTTAGAGTTGAAACTAGTGGCTAATAATCAGCAGTTAGTGGTAAGAGAACCCTAGGTGATGTCTCAGGGCTATGACTGATCTAGTACATAAACCATTCAATTACATATACAACACTATAAATATCCCAACATTGAAACTCTTAGTAATGTAAAAAATGATCCATACCAGATAACTGTACCAGAAAGTGCCCGTAGAAAAACCATTCACCAGCTTAACCCACTTCGAAAAAGAAACATGTAAACAGATCATTTCATGGATCACTTCACAGGAAAAATGTTCATATTCCAGACAATGACCTATATCTTCCGAACAATAACTTACATCTTCCAGACAATAACCTTGAGACATTTTTTTCTGTGAAGACAATAATATAAAAAATAGTTCTGAGTTCTTATATTTCACAGCAAAAAAAGAAACCTAACAAAGTTCAAAATTGAGTATTGAGTGACCTTAAAATAACTAGACTGTAAAATATCCATTTTATTTACATTTTATAAACTAGAAGGCAATGAAAATCATACAGATGGTTCTGTTGTAAATGTCCAGAAAAAATCCCACAATTGTACAATTGTTTTAGAATTAAATACTGACAATGTCATTACTTTCATCTGAGAAAACTTTATTTGGTATTCTTTATTTTTTCAGATACATATTCATTTACTGGGATTTATCAAGAAAATGATTTTTTTCTGAGCTGTAAGGTATTTTTCAAATTGATCATGTTCTCAGGTGAACTGTGTACTGATACCATCAGACATCAAAACCAGACCACTAAACACAAAAAATGTTGTGTTCTTTTCAAAGCTTTTCTTGTTTATGCCTATAACATTGGAGCTAATTAGGAACATAATGGTGCTAAACTGACCAGGCTTGTTTATCTCAAAGGAACTCTGGCTTCCCATGTTTGTGCCAACACGTGTTACGATAAAACTGATGTTTCAACAAATGATACATCTTTTGAATTTGAACGACTGAGTATATCCACAATCAATCGGCCTTCAAGTCTAGTAGGAAAAAGCGGGGCAAGATTATAAGGTGAATTATGGGAGTCAGTGATTTTTTAAACATATCGGCTACATTAAAGTACAACTTGTGGGGTATCAATGCTAAAATCTAGCCACAAATGAAATCATAAATGTTATGAAGTAAAAAAGTCATAAAGCAGTCATCACTGAATTGACTGTCCTCAAAATGAAAAGACGCATCCTTACAATATATTTCATTCACTCTTGTTTCATTGACAGGAAAGAGAAGTAAATTGATGTCTAAATCCATGTGTTATGAAAATTGTCCATAGATTTTTTTCAATATTTGATTCATATGTGAGTTCCGAATTTCCATTTGAGAAGCGGGAATGAAAGCATATGGACAACAACTTTCGATTTAGAGAAGAGACAACGGGCAAAATAAAAGAAGGTGCCTATAGGTTGGCCTGATATTGTATTTGTTAGCACAAAGGCCAAAAGAGGAAAGATAACATGAAAGAACATCCCTGAATAGATACAGTCATCAGGAAATAAATCCCCAGCATCCCAATCTTTTTAAAGAAAGTTTACTTACGATAGTTGCATCCATGTTGTCCGTTAAGTTGTTGCCACCCATTGCAGCATCGATACTTGTTGATGTAGCGTCGTTCAAATTGTTGGGTGTACGTTGTGTAGTAATGCGTCCTGGAAAACACATGAAGATATGTTATAACAATATATTGGCCACATTGTTCTTTGGTATTCCTCTATAATAAAATAAAATAAAAATTGAGTGTGTAATCAAGGGAATCTGGGACTCGTTTCTAAAAAATTGAATTTGTTTGAAAATGTTTATCACATCTGAGGTGAAGACAACTTCTACTTTGAATGTAACATACACCCAAAAATCTCATATATTTCAATCAATGAGCAGAATTTCAATTTATATTTTTACAAATTTTTCATTACATATAAGATAAGATAAAAGATACATATCACTACTCAAGTTTCATAACAAATCTATTCATATCATGACAGGATTCAATTTCATCTAAAATTGGGGTATAAACTTTTCATTCACTAGAAATGCTATATGTATTGGGGGTAGTCTTGCTTTACAACTATGTACCCCCCCCCCCTCATATACTTCACCTATTGGGGAATCCTGATAGCAAGTGGCATTTATGATAAATTCTATGATGGTAATCCTAGTCCGGTATAATTGAATAATAGTTGGCAACTGTGAATCAAGCGCCTAATCTCTTACAAAATTCTCTCTAATATGTCAATTGAAATTAATATCAGGTAGTAAACCAACAGTAAAAATACTATGAGAAACTACTCAATAGTTATTTCTACCTGGATGTATTATACAGATATTTGACACGATAGTTACAGGTAATAATATATCATCACATGCAATCATTAATTGAGCAAATCATAACTTCATATATTTATATCATGTATTTTGTGGCATGTGATGCAAACAGCATCTGAGTATTGGTTGTAGCATATACCATTGAGGTGCGAAACTGTCAAATATCTCAATTAAATACATAACATGCTCCCTAAATTCCTCTGTTATGATCCTCTCTTTTGAAAAATGAACATATAAATGTACTTTTTCCTAAGAATACCAATGGATAAATTGAGATTTGAAATGAAATGATTCAGTTGAAATTAAGTCAATATTCAAATTGTACATGAGTTCCAGATGCATTATATATTTTATTAAAATTAGGGGTTAAATCCCTGGAAACACAAAAAAGGTTGACCATTTTAGAAAGGTGAACTGTGATTGTAATACATAATATGACCTGACAGTTTGAAATTAATGTATTTTCAAGGTGTACACTTTCACCTGTTGAAAAACCTAACCTGGCAGGCAATGGAAGACAGATTTTGGACGAGTTCTTTTTCAAAACATCCCCCTTCCAACAAGTGTAAATCAAAACTGACCATTTAAACCCTTGTCAAATCACAATTGACTATCACATTTGTGATATGTAGCATCTAATATTAATATTGACTGAATGTAGCAACTTCAGTTATCATACATCAATTGATGTTTTTATTGATAATCAAAAATTCCCAATTATGCAGAAGATCTTAGCCCTGGAGGGCAGATAAAACATGGATATGGGATATACAAGGTATCTATTTACAGCATTAATTTAAAATATTTAGTACTTAGGGGGGGAAACATGGGCAATATGACATTCTAATCAAAACATGGAATCGATAACTGTTCAGACATACTTCTAAATGCAAAACAAATCCTTTCTCCATCACAGAGAAATCATCTATGAAGGACTGATCTGAATAAAGGTGTAGAGTTCAGTATGTGAGGGATTTGGAGAATGTATATACCTAGATACAAAACCCCTCCAGATCCATGTCGCCTGTTATTCTAAACTCAATAATGATACGATTATCTGAAATGAATTTCGTTCAAAGAAAAGATCACAATTATCAGATACCAAAGAACAAGATTGATCTGATGTTAAATTTATGAAATGTTACAGATAGGCATCTGTGTAACAGGAAATCATGCCTAAAGATACAAGATGATACCCTTTTAATGAAATAAAAAAATTCATAAAAAATTTAATCTTGATTTAAAAAAATTAGGTTATGATTGAGTAAATATCTGTATCAGATGATGTATTCCTCAACTTACATAGCAGAGATGTCACTTGAGTAGCATCTTTTTTGCAAGGAGAACCTGTATCCCATACGGGATTTATGGGTCCAGGTTGGATGTATGGGGAAAACAGGCTGCTATGTGGGTGGGACAAAGCCTTCATTGGATGATGTATGGGGCTAGACATTTCCAAGTTTATTACACTTGTTCATTTCAGTTATTTTCCCTGGAGTCCAATAATAATGATGACCATAATGAGATTGGAATAAAATTACAGACTGGAGGTGAATTATGTAATAACTCCAATGGCTTGAGAATACTCTGTGAATAATTTGACACTTTATTACCATTCTTACTCTATAATGATCAATCTTATTATTATACTCCAGCAACAATGTAAAGGGATCAATATATCACCCAGGGTTATATTCAAACTTTTACTTGGATGAAAGCCCCATATACGTATAACAGATGAGGGATCAGGTCAAAACAATGACTCTTGTCATAAGATGTAATTGTGTACATTTGAGGGGTGGCCATAAATGTCCATTACATTTCAAAATAGCATTCATTTCTTCTATTTCGCATCTTTCACAAGGTTTCAAACAAATATGTATATGATTTAAACCTTGGAAATCGAAAATGTACCAAAGAGAATATTCCGTGGGTTTCACTAAAAGCTTCAGTAGTGACGCTTTTGTCAAAACAAATTTTCTTATGTATATTTTGAAGCATTCTAATTTATTGACCTGACCCCAAAAATTGTTTTCCAAAATAGAATATCTTGTATGTCTGTAATTATATAAAGATTCAATATTGAAAAACATTGAATTTGACACCATTCTTTTACTTTGTTATTTTTGGAAATTACAGGCAGAATTGAAATGTTTTTAGTTCTTAACCAATTCAGCCTCTGTACATATTGACGTATTTGATTAACACACCATTTTCTGAAAGGTAATGTTTTGTTGAAGAATTGAAGCGAAATACTATACATTCTAAATAGGCAGTTAAATAAAAAGCAACAATAAAAAAGTTAGAGTAAAGATATGTATCTATTTCCTCATGTCCAATGTATACAAAATTCACCAATTGAGATTGAACTGGTGAGCAGATAGAATTTCATAATGTTATGATAAGACGATTAGAAACGTCATGATTGTCAAATAGAGTACCAATATGATATACTTTGTAGGTAAGATGATACTTGGACTGCGTGTATGTGAGACCCTAAAGGTGTGAACCCACTAGCTATTTGACATGATGAACCTCAGAGCTTATGATCATATTTCTATATACTCTATCAGGCCTGTAGCCAGCTTTTACCAAGGGGGAGTACTTTTCAAAAAATTCCGGAGGGGTGGGAGGTTCACATTTGACAATTTTCAATGTTTTGACCCAAAATCACTTGAAAAATGCTCAGAATGATGAATAAAAACTAAATGATTTTGATTGATCGACCCCCCTGGATACATACTGGCCTGTCTATATTAGGGGTAGAGTTTGGATCTATTTTCACATGAATATGAAAGTCTACTTATTCAAGGTTCAGGTTCATTTGTCAGATTTTGCCTACCTTGTTAAGTGAATGAATACTAGATGTATGGCAGGAAATACAGACAATGCTACATTGAAATAAATACTTTTGTATTGTTTGTAATAAATGTGTTTTCTTGTATGAGGTGCCACCAGGGATGATGGCCTGATACCTTTTTGGCATGGTATATACTTGGAGAAACACTAATGAGAAAGTGGTCAAAGAGATCATGTAATTAGTCTCATAAAATACACAATTGCATCAAATTGAGTCTCTAAACCCCTCACCAGACTTCAAGTTCTTCTAGCTATGATTGGGTCACAAGGGGAGAGTATGTGGAGTAGGTGAAGACTATCATTTCCAAAAGATTGATTTGACTTTTAAAAGAGAACTTCATCAACAATTACAACTAGCCTCTCTTGGCCTCAGCATGGTAGGGCCTCAACATGATGGGCCTCAGCATGGTAGGGCCTCAACATGATGGGCCTCACCATGGTAGGGCCTCAACATGATGGCCTCAGCATGGTAGGGCCTCAACATGATGGGCCTCAGCATGGTAGGGCCTCAACATGATGGGCCTCAGCATGGTAGGGCCTCAACATGATGGGCCTCAGCATGGCAGGGCCTCAACATGATGGGCCTCAGCATGGTAGGGCCTCAACATGATGGGCCTCAGCATGGTAGGGCCTCAACATGATGGGCCTCAGCATGGCAGGGCCTCAACATGATGGGCCTCAGCATGGTAGGGCCTCAACATGATGGGCCTCAGCATGGTAGGGCCTCAACATGATGGGCCTCAGCATGGTAGGGCCTCAACATGATGGGCCTCAGCATGGTAGGGCCTCAACATGATGGGCCTCAGCATGGTAGGGCCTCAACATGATGGGCCTCAGCATGGCAGGGCCTCAACATGATGGGCCTCAGCATGGTAGGGCCTCAACATGATGGGCCTCAGCATGGTAGGGCCTCAACATGATGAGCCTCAGCATGGTAGGGCCTCAACATGATGGGCCTCAGCATGGCAGGGCCTCAACATGATGGGCCTCAGCATGGCAGGGCCTCAACATGATGGGCCTCAGCATAGATTAGGCGCAGGAGACTGGAGGACACACACAGAGACTGAATATGCCAAATCTGAACACCAAGTTCCATTTTCTATTGTGTTATATCAATACAAAACATCTGAATGTTGTCGTTCAAGAAGACAAAGAAAGGGCAACCATTCAGACACTTGACATTTTGTACCAGCGACTTGGACATAATGTAACAGAGAGGACTGGAGCTATATGCAAACACACTGGTCAAGTCTTTTGTCCTTCCAAGCAGTTGGTACTAATACTAATATAATTGGCAGGCCTGTAGCCAGGATTTGCCAAGGGGGGTTCAGTTTTCAAAAATTTCCAGGGGGGGGGTTCACACTACGATTTGACAATTTTGGCCCAAGTATAGCTATAATCACTCGAGAAGTGCTCAAAATGGTGAAAAACTGCATGATTTTGAACGAATTTAGGGGGGGGGGGGGCCGGAACCCTGCGAACCCCCCCCCCCCCCCCCCCCCCCATCCCCTGGCTACAGGCCTGATTGGCCTCCTTTAGAACACAGTATTATGATGAAAATATACACATTTTTATGATTTTGTCTTTCAATATATTTATTCAAAATCACCAATACGATCTCAATAGATTTTTTTCATAAAGTAAATGATCTTTGGCAGCTTTTGTGCCAATCCTTGCAAGCCTTGGAGTTATTTTCCTGAAATCCTTTGAGCAGGTTCCCTGAGAAAACAGCTAAAATACTGGGGGCAATGATCTCATGAATGGCCTAAGGGAAACTGAAGTGGGTACATTAAATAAAGCCCTCCTTTAGTGCCTAATCACATTCAATACTGCATACAAACCTATCATAATATTGGCTAACTCCTATATATTTACCTCAGACTCTCTATGTTCTTGGACATGTTTATTCTGGGCAGTTGACTCTTGTTTTATTTGTAATTTCCAGGTTGGCCATATGTTGGTCAGCTATAGGTATATAAGCCTGTGTTTGTTAAAGGGGACACTAGGTGAATAGCAATCAAGAGTGGGCATTTACTCATTATGGGGTGTTTGTTCATTGTGCTTTGTATTTAACTTGGTGTTTATCTGTACTGCCAATGCCATGCACTTTTAACATGAAAGGACATGGTCCTATATTTGCACATCATGCACTGTGTATGTACATCATGCATTGTATATGCAATCATCTGCAGGCACATTTCAAGAATTGGTTCTATTTGAGCTCAAAATAAAGATGATGACACTTTTGTATCATCAGTTTTTGTGTCAATAGCTTTAGTATTACGAAAATCTGTTAATTGACCTTGGTGTGACCCAAGTATATGTCACCATGTGTTGCCTTTTATCAAATAACTTGGTGTGGTGAAGATATGATACTAAAACATATTTGGTGTGATGATGTTAGAAATCATTGGGAACCATTCGAGAAATTGACCATCATGAAAACTGAGAATCCCAAAAATACAAACAACTATTTTGCATTGAATACAGTACTGTCACATATCATTCTGATTCTCATCACATCTTTCTGTGCCACACTAGAAACATCTCAAGACTGAGGAGAAATGAGATGTCATGGTTTATCATGATCGTCACAAATGCTCAAAACAAGAAAACACAAAATGTCTTTATTTGCCATGATGACCAATAATGAGGAAATCCAACTAAACCTACTGTCACCAATTCTATAAGCTTACACTGATAAATAGCTGTAACAGGATATATACTTTTTATCACTTTTGAACCAAGCACACAGTATTTCATTATAAATGAGCTTTTGTCATATTCCATTTTGACCCTATACAACTTACATACTTCTCTGCTCATATGTATCACATTTGGTAAAGGCAAGCATATATCATATAACAAAACATGACGTGAAGACATCAAATGATTGGACATTTACATTAATTTTTCAGTGAATCAATTCAACTTGGTAAAAAATAATATTACATACCTCAATATAAAAACTTACACGCAAAATTCTGAACTTGAACTATAAGTGACTTTGAAACAGGTTGATTTACTGCACCAACACAAAACCAAACCATGAATACAAAAATTTGTATTTTCACTCTTATTGGCATCTCAAAGTTATAAGTTGTGTTGACATAAGGGACAATTGCACGAAACAAATTATACAGTGGGAGGTAACTTTTCACATGCCGCCAAGGCAAATCTAAAAAGTAGCGTTTTAATTAAATAGCGGCTGTACCGATGATTATAGTTATTCCAAAATGGGGTCTATCAGAACAAACAAATTATTCAACAAACGACCAAATGCAGAAAAAACATTACGAATTCTAAGATAAATTGTTGGTAAATTATGGAATAACTAGTCAGATGTTGACTTGTCATGATTGTGTGACAATGTATGTTTTAAACTTGATGGCGTATCAGTTTTACTATGTAAGGTATCACAAACAGCATACAATCATCTACACCTCCCAAATCATATTTCATTCAACTAAATATACAAGTTTGGCTCGACTATTATATGGACTGAGTGTTCATGATACATTGTGCATCTCCACCTCTGTTTGTCTAATCATGTACAAAACAACTTAACAATTTTATATAATTTTTGGAATTAGTAGACACCAAGAGCTATCATAATTTTCCTATGCTAAGTTTATATATGGAGACAATAGATCTAGATATATTCTAACTTCAAATAACCAAATCTGAAAAAATCTCAGATCCAGTAATGGGCAAGTTTTACCCTTTGCAATAGATTGACTACATCTAGCCTCTAACCAGAATATATATTCAGAAAATCATCAGTAATAGTTAGAGGGCAGGGTGGCTACCTGATGGTGTTTCAGGGTAGGACAAATAATAGCAGTACCAAGAAATATAAAATCAATGAGAATCAAGATTTAGTGAATATCTCACCATATACATGATATATGGGGCTCTATATAGAAGCCTCGAAAATGATCTCACTCTCAAATATACCTGGTAAATATCTCAAATCTTTATAACATTCAATGAGATATCTCAGGCATTCTGTGTAGTATCAATGAGCTCACCTTCTTTCATATCCAACACACCAGTTGTGTGTGTATCCACAGTTTGGTTTCCACACTTTCTGAAGGCGGGTGAATGCTCGAACACATGGCTTCCTTACTGGGACTAGCTCCACCTCCTGGTAAGGGCAAACATTTGGCCTAGAAAGAAGAACATATTGATTAAACAGAGAAATGTTTTCATTTTGAGTGTTTCTAACATGAACACTGTGATAGCATCTGTCTTAATATATAGGTTAAAGTCAGGTTGTATTTTTAACCTACTTTTGAGCAAAATAATATCTCATTTTGTTGCATTTCAGTGTCCTAACAGTACGCAATATGCATTATACTTTTGGATCATATAATACAGCCTGTGCCTCTTTAATGATTTCAAAAAAGATGACAAAATATGGGAACACAGTAGTAAAACCAGTGTTATTGAACGCAGCTGTATTCAATACCACTCTTCATGGAACCCTTTTTAAAAGAACCAGTCCTATTGACATGCATGTTATCATGAACCCTCTCTGCAAGGGACACCCATCTACAAGGCACAGCTTTGGCCATGGATGGTTTTCATAAATAAGGTTCACTGTGACTAAACTAACTGGAAATAATGTGATCAATTTAAGTTGAGGTTAACCCCATATGATGTGATGAAAGTAATCCATCTCTGTTGATCAAACAATACAATTTAGAAGCAATAAAAAATATAATGAGCATAATTATTAACTTGTAACTCTTAAATAATGACTCTTGAGGTGTTTATTTCCCACATATTTATAAACATGACCATTTCTTGAAATAAACGCCTGTATTTAAGGTAAAATAGTACAAAAATTGCGTTAACTGAAGAAATACTATTTAAAGATTTGGCATTAAGATTATGAATTGCTTACAACTCTGTTGTTCAAAATGTTGAACATTAGAAAAAAGAAAAATGCTGACATGGTTTCGGAAAATGTTTTGAAGGTTGGCACGGCAACCAGGTGGTAACTAAAGAGGAAATGACTGCTTCCTAACATCAACAAATAAAGACAAACATTGCCAAGATCTTGACAGAAACATAGCAAAAAAATCCCTATAAAAATACAGTACACGAAATGTATATTTATAACTTTTTAGTCAGTGGTTATAATTACAGAGTCCTTTATAACATTTAATTAGTTGGTAGTTTGACATTTTGACTTTTGTTCTAGTTTATGGGCTACATGATGTGTAATTAGCAGTTGGCAATGAGTATATGTATATCAGTATATAGTCGGAGGCCAATCTTTAACCAGGTAGGTACACCTCCCCCACCCCCCAGGGCAACGATAGGTGCATTAGAGCACTTATCACTTATAAAATCACTGATAAGGTGTTACACGTTAACTCAAGATGTTTCCGATAAAATTAGTGTTTTATCTCGTAACCTTTCATTTTTCAGCTTTAACCTAATGCAGTTACGAATGTTGCCTGTAGTCATCAGGATGACATGTACCATGCCATTACAAGCTTGGGTGCTTTCATTTTACGCATTGCTCATTTCAAAAACAATTTCCTATTACAATGTATTCAGGTCTTCTTTTCTTATACACAACAATGCACAAATCCAAAAACTTTCAACTTGAGCCAGAATTCATTCAGCCAGAATTAAATGTTATTTCATTTCAACTTCAAAAAGAGTTAATGACAGACTATAATATGAAGCAATCTCAACTGATTTCTTCTATCAATAGTTGTCCATTTTATCTCAACCACTATTATAAGTAATAATATCTCTAGCTTTGGGCAAGTTTTACTATGTATGCATATATAAACAATTTTCTTATCCAACTAACTTAACAAGGTCCCGAAAACGAAGCTCTCTTAAAAACGGAAGTTGAACGAATGTGAAGAGTACTTAAAAAACCAAGGGTAATGAACAAAACAGTGATATGCTTGATTAATAGCTTTCTAAGAGTATGAAAGTACCTTTAAAAACATGTTCATAGATCTACTTCGTATGCTGAATGGAGTAGAGAAAAACTGTGTGAAGATGATGTCATATACCCATTGATTTCATATTATATAACTCTAAATTGATATACAGATCAATACTGGTGAAGTTGAAGTCAAACCTTTTAAGGAGGAATAGGTTGAATTGATGAATATGGAATGTGAGTGAAAGTCAATGAATGAGGAAGAACATCATAACAGAAATATGCCAAAGTGTTTTATAACAAGAGGAAAAACTTTTATTATACTCCAGAAACACATTATCTTATCTTTGACTCATATACTCTATGATGTTCTATTATTCTGGGGTATGCCTGTTAGCACAAGGTGATCTGTTTTTATGAATTGTATGTTTTTGTTTGATTAATGAATGATAATTAATTCACAAAATGTGAATTATTTCAAGATCAATTTGGTATTTGATATTAAAGTCAAACACAGTTTTATGTACTAAAACTGGAATACCTTATGGCCTAGATCTAAATACTTTCATAATGAGGTTTTTGTTTCCAATTCTCCAAAAATAAATGATACACTGTATGAAGTATGTAGGCAAGTGATTTTTCAATATCTTTGTTGGTATGGAACTTACCAGGGATCTGTATATGTAAAGATAGAGCATCATTTCTCAACCACTTTTCATAACATACCTTGTTAGGTTACCCAGATCTTGCATTTGAACATATTTAACATTTCCCAAAACAAATTGGACATGGCATCAAACGGTTTATAATACTACAGTGAAACATGTTAAGTGGAACACCTCTAGAAGTAGAACATCTTTGTTAGTGGAATAATTTTCAGAGTCCAGAGACCAACTGACTTAATGTTAAATGAACCTCTTTAAGTTGAAAACCTCCCAAGTGGAACACTTTTTAGAGGTACGAAAGGTGTTCACTAAGACAGCTTTTACTTTTTAATGTTATGGAATTTTAATGAAAAATGGCAGCTTGATGAAAATCATTAATCTGTGGGTGATATGATACAGCACAATTGAGGCATTCAAACATCAACTGAGTCTTGTGTTTTTAACAGTTGATAGGCCAATCTAATTATTTGAATCACTCAAAAATAATTTTTGATCTCTGGTATCACAGTGGGTCCTAGATTGTTCCCCTACTGGGCCCTTATGGCCTAGTCACATAGCCCGGCCGATGTCCAGCATCGGTAGAGCTCGGTGGATTTTTTTGGTGCCACCGAGCTCTCCTCATCGGAAGCAGAGCTCGGTAACGTGAACGGACTCCGTCCGGACATCTTCAGGCGACCGACCGAACACCGGCCGGTGACCGTACGGAGTCTGTCTCAAAATGGTAATTTTTTTCTGCCGATGTGGCAGCAACTACCGGCCGGAGGTCGGCCGGACATCGGAAGGAATACGGCCGGTACCCGAGCAGGTAACAGGACACCGTGCGATCGCCGGCCGGGTTGTTAACGGGCTTTGAACAGTGACCGGCCGATGCTCTGTCCCACATCGGCCGGAGCTCAGTCGGAGCTCGGCCGCTGTCCGTTAAAAAACCTCGTCCTCTGGTTGTCTCAGATGCACGGGACACCGGCCGATACTCGGCCGTGCACCGGCCGACGTGTTTTCCGATGTGGTTACGATGGGGCTGCGATGACATGATGAGGGAGCTCGGTGAGAGCCCGGTGAAATTTAACTCCGAATTTAAAATTTCACCGAGCTACCACCGATGCGGTTTTAAGCAACAAACGCCACGGATGTCCGGCCAGTGTTCGGCCGAGTTCGGTGAAAATTGCATCGCTGGCTCATCGTAACCTCATCGGCCGGGCTATGTGACTAGGCCATTAGATGTGCTGTTATTGTCTGCAGGGCCACTGTTCGTGGATGCAGATACATTTTACCACATGTCCTGAACTATGGTTTTAATTACATCCCAATTACTGTATCACTGTACTCATAAACCTTCTCCTTAGCAATTAGGTCAAATTAGACATAAGATGACCACATAACCCTTACAACTGTAAATAAATCACTGATAGATTCTTCCTAATCTGAGTGTCACTTAATCAAACAGTTTAGACTTAACAACAGGAATTATCAATTATGCATGTGTTATCACCATACCTGGTAAATGATCTATTATTAAGTTAATATCATTTCAATAGATTTCCAAAATTTTTTTAGAAAGGTCATCATTTGGCAAAGTAAGGACAGGTCAGTAAGGCAGATGTTATGGCCATTTCAGATATCTACTTAAACTAGGTTAATGAGTGTCATAAAATCATCAAAGTAACTTCCAAGATATGCTGGTTAAAAACTGTATAGGATTTATTACATATACTGAGCCCATGGTTTTTACTACTGCTGTACCACTGCTCATATTAAAATGATTAACCTGGTCAAATACGTCTAATGATCATATCAGATATTACCAAGAACAGCAATTATTTTGAGATATTTTATGATATTAACATGATCATTAACAAGGTTTTAATCATTAATAGCTCATTCTTTCGACTCAGTTAAAGCTTAATGACATTTAATAAAAAAAAATTATTACATGTACATTCATTTTTGGATTCTTAACAATAATGTTATTCATTGTCTTAGACATTTACAATATATTTTCCAAGTTCAGACAGGCAGACAGATGTTACATTTCTTATTTACATCTCTATTTTCTGAGGCAGTGATCATTACAGTGTGTAAATAGAAAATCATTAGATTGTGTAAATGGAAAAGGGCAGTCCACATATTTACATTCTATGGTCACACCACAGGTCATCAATTTTCTAATGTCTGGTACGACAATACCAAATGATTTGGAATAATATTTTCTTATGGTCAAGACAACAGAAATAGTACTTATGTGCTATTTATTTTGGTTGTGTATTTGAGTGAAGTGCGAAAGTTGATCATTTTATCTTTATGACTTGTCTAAGTTGTGAAGTGGCGATATTATGTACCAATAGAACAGGCCCTACATAACCTATGCTACATAAACTCAAGATTTATCATGTCTCGTATCAAAAATTAGACCTTCAATAAGCAATCATAAATTGAATTGGACGCATATCTTTGACTCTGAAGTAGGGAAAAGTCATAATCAAAACTGAGGATATTATCACATGAAAACACTTCATTATTTGCGTGTATCCTTAAAATATGTGCATATTTGTGTGTTTATCCTATTAAGCCTTATAATTATGTTTTCATTTATTTACAGTTTATATCTTCCTATCTAAGGACTAAACAAACATAAATCTCTGTGTAAAGAAGTTGAACACACACGGGAGTTGATCAAACAGAAAACTTTCCAATACTTTCAGTGTTTCGTGTATAAAGTCAGACACGTTCTTTAATAATAGAGATAATGGGGTTTAAATATAACCGATGATATCTTCAAAGAACTTGAACATTCAGCAGATGTGTAAAACATAAATGGAGTCATCCAAGGGTGAACAAAGTTACATTTTATTGAATTCCTATGAATTACAGTTACAGCCAATATACCCCCAAGACCTACTATAAAATATTAAACAGAGTGGTTATTAGTAAATTTTATGGCTATTTATTGGGCCACATTCTCAGCTCAGCTGCAAAGCATTGGTACAGTCTAGTTTTCATTATCATCTTTTTTTAGGGGGGGGGGTGACTGAAAATATTAAGTTCAGTTGCATAGGCTCATCTTTATTATTTACCAATGATGGTATATAAGTCTTACTGCTATCATTTCAAAATTTGTTATTTCAAAGAATATTACAGGAATTAGTTTTGCCTTTTATTAGCTATAAATGGCCCTATTGAAATTATGTACCCATTGGTATAGTGAATTATGTTTAACATTGTACCTATATCATTTCTATGCTTTCTAAGCGCAACCAAGGTTTTTACTATAAAACTAACAAAATTAATCCATCAATCAAGACTCATATCAAAAACACACTGACTTTAAAAACGTACTTGCCTTTGAAAATGCTATGCATACAAAGTGTAAATGCAATTGAATTTTTTTACACCAATAAACAGCTATACAGATCATCATTAAGAGCTTAAAGATGAACGAATGTGTGAAGTATATAACTTACGAGCTGGCTTGAAGATCAGATTGGTACCCTTGTTGAGAATGATAACTGCTGTGTTGTTGTTGTTGTCTTCTCTGAGGTTGCTGTTGTTGAGTTCCATATGAGTACTGGGCTAAAATTCCTGAGATCTTAATAATCACAATTAAATATGTAATACTGAGTATATGTCTTGATACAGACTGCATTGTTCCACGCAGCATTCTTTCCAAGCTGCAAACTCGACACTTTTCTTATGATACAATCACCTGAAAAAATTTGACAACTCTGAAAAAAGTTTTCAATTGCCTACACAATAGTTGTTCTTCGCTCTATTAAGCTTCTTACTGTACATCCCGTGTTAATATCCAATGTTTTTATATTGCTGTGGCATCAAAAATAAATTCCTGCCTTCACGTTAACCACTTCCTGTGATTTCATCCAATGCAGACAGAGGACTTGTATTTTATAGAGGGGCAGGCTCTCACTGACATGTGTTCTATCCACTGATCAATTCTACCAAAATTACACCTCTGTTATGAGCCCTCACATTCAAAGTGAGGCTAAGGGGTCGTCTCAAAACTTTTAGCTTGACCACTGTGGTGATCTGACAATCGCACAGTAGGAAGTTAGTGTTATCATGAGGTCAATAGTATTTGAGTGGGATCATTTGAAAAGGTTACAAATGAAACCATGAAGTTTTACTATAGGAGATACTACTTAGCTTGATGATTAAACACTCAAACAATTTATACATCTTAAATCACGTCAAATGTTTGGGATTTTTCCAACAGGAGAAAAGAAGAATGTGAAAAAACAAAAACAAAACTATTAATAAAATTAAAAAGCTCTATTTAACGAAACGAAAAATAAACATGCATTATATCATTCAAATGAGTAGCCGTTGTCTAATAACATAACATATATACCCATATAACTTTTATTGACATATGTATAACATTATGCAATGTTATTATTTGAGATGGTGACTTATGCAATATTAATGAAATCTACATAATTAAACAATAGCTTTGGGTTGGTGTTTGCATAATATACATCCCCAGGTTGGATTACTTCATTAGTGCAGCCGAGATGCTACAGCATATGCATGCAGCCTATGCGTTGAAGCTAACATAGAAAAATTATAACTTATAAATTCCAGAATTTCGCCAAGTGATAACAGTGTCTGCATTTAAGGCTACTATGTACATAAACCATGAGGCGGAACATAAACGAAGCATCAAATTCATGATCGGAAAAGTTTTTGAGATTTGTTATACTGATATTGTCAATCTGATTATACAATGGAGTTCTGGAAACTGTCTGACATCCAATAGCCAAACAAAAAATCAACTTGCCTCCTGTGAGACGTGCAGGTGGCCATAGTGTGAACATTGTTGATTTTTAAAAGGAGTTTGTTTTAGTTCAATACTTTGTTCTATTTATAGAGTCAATGTTTTTGTTCCTTCCCTTTCTTGCTCCTCTCTAGATCTTTAACATCAATATATTCTACAAAAACAATCTTTGTGTAAGAGTGAACAAACCTAAAAATATACTTTCTCCTGCCTGTATGAACTGATTATTTGTTACATTTTCCCTTCAGAGTTTAGACTAGATCTGAGAATACAAATTGATATATCCACTTTAAAATGCATTAAATGGAGAAATTAGTTTTTGTTCCTGTCAAAACCAAGTACACTAGCAAACACTGCTATCTAGAACACCAGCGAATTCAAGTACATTCATTCTCACGTTGGCTTACTTAAAGTTAGCTAATCAAATTCAGTTTTTGGTAGATCTTAAAAAAATACCTCACAGGCACCACCTTAAGCTCATTGCATGAAAATCAAAAATTTAAATCTGTAATAAGCTAAAACAAGGTATTAAGATGTAAAAAGTCACCAGATGCCATTTGTTACAGACGCCGAGTGCCAACTGCCAAACACCAAATACCGAACCTGAAAACACCAACCACCAAATGCCATCCATAAAACAGTTGAAGACCATAACAATATTTCACCACTTGTGGAAGTGACATAAAAATATAAAAAATTACAAAAAAATATGAATTAGAAATAAGATGTTTGGGAGATTTTAAATAAGGTAGGAATTTCGTATCAGGGCTTAACGAAAAGCTGAATATGGGGCAGAATGACCTAACTAATGGGAGAGCATAGATCAGACAGCTATAAAACATCCTCCGATATTTCATGAAAATGAGTAAATGCAACATACTCTGTAAATCAACATAACCTTGGGTTTACCTTACTCATTCACCATTCACTTAGGAAACTTGAATCACAAAAATAAGAATTATTTTCTTGGGACTATTTTTAGTTTATACATATATGATGTATGTACATCTGTTACTAGATGAGAATAGAATGCAGTTCTCTAAATCTTGTATCAACACATGTAAATCTTTGGACCACCTTTACACGAGACTCATTTACATGTGTTGGTCTATAGATGAGATCAGTTGTAAACAAAGTGGTTTACATGACAATGAATGATGTTACTAGAATGAATGATGTCATATCATTGTCAGTTATACAGACCAGATTATGTAAGGCTACAAAGAGTAAATGATGTCAGGTTACATAAACTGAATGATGTCATATTATTGTCAGTTATACAGACCAGATAATTTCAGGTTACAGAGACTGAATGATGTCATATTAAATAAGACTGAATGATGCCAGGTTACATAGACTGAATAATGTCAGGTAATATAAACTGACCGATGTCAAGTTATATATGTAGAATGATGTCAGGTTATAAAGACTGAAAAATGTCAGGTTATACATATTGTAGTATAAACCTGCCTAAATGAATTTACTTGCAGTTGGTGAACTGACTGATAGACAGTGTGCTCTAGTATATCCCATTGACACTGTTCTATTCAATGAGATAATAATTAAATATTATTCACATAAACATCTTTAGAATTGTCCATGTTCAATGTTGTAACTCGCAGACATTTCAATAAAGCCTGACAGGCGTGATTAACTATGTATAAATTAAACACCTTTGAAGTTTGTCTAAAAGAGATAAATATGTAACATTTGTTCATATTCTTGATATTAAATAACTCTTTATCAACTGCCCTGGAGGCTGTTATCCCAAGTTTCAGCCTAGATATTCAGCATTTCTTGACTTTTGATATGACCCCTTCTTTTCCACAACCACTTACAACTGTTAAAATCTATTAACAAACAGACTTATTACCATGAACTCTCTCAACAAAATAGAAACTTTTGACAGTTAAATAAAAACCTGAGAAAAAATTAAGTTATTAATATCACAATTTCAAACTCTGAAATCTTAATCAATTTTGATTTTATAAAAATTCTCAAGAGAACTTTAATGAAATTGCAGAAAGGTTTCAAGTAGTTTATTCCAAAAGCTTGATGAAAAACAGTTTCAAAAATGAGGCTTAAGATATTAAAAAAACATTATTTTTACTGACCAGATTTGCAACGTTTAACCCCACAGTTATGAGAATGTCACAGTTCTGACTCACGGTTCACTAATTATGCATTTAATTTTTTTAAGTTGCTCCAAAAACAAAGTGATCAAAACTTAGCAGGGGCATCTTAACCAGGTAATTCAGCTTTATATAAATGTTATGACACAACATGAATCCTTCAATGATAATCACTACCTTTATTATTAACAGTTTAACTACCATGCTCAATTTTTTGTACTTTTCATGCCTAGTGAATTTTTATAATGAGATAACTATAGGTTTGGATCTGGTGGGAGGGGGCTATATAAGTGTTGGCTTATGCTGCAATATGGACCATTATAAAAACAACCTACATGTACTCAACTGGAAAAAGCAAATCTGGAGAAAAAATATCAAAAACATGAACACCCATATAATGCATAAGTACAAACATAAACACCTGGTCGTGTTACAAAACACATAAAATCTGATAATGAAAAACATTTTGCAGAATCACGATTTGTGAAAACAAAAATTAAACTTCAGTTGATATATAGCAAAAGGTTTACTGCTGCTCAAGTTTGTAATTATTTTCAAATGATGTAAACGTTTGAATATATGACCAGTCTTTCAGCTTATTCTAGAGTATGTATTTAGAGTATGACTGGATTACTCCAAACCACAGTTAAGGGCCCTTGAACATTTAAACAATTAGTAGTACCTTTACAAATTCCAGTTCTCAGTGTTCTACACAATAAGTCAATTTAATACTTTATTTCTTTAAATACCAGAGGAATTCAGTCTGATATTTCAATGGTTTTATACTAAGAGCAGTATTAATTACATGTCTCAATATGCTTATGCTATTTGGACAAGGTATCAAAAAAGTTCATTATTTTAGAAAACAATAATGAGAATGCACCCTGGAGCTCTTTAGAAATCCTAAGTATCGTACTCATGTATTTTTTCAAATAGTTGAAATTTCAAAGATTTTATGATGCAAAATAGAACTTATTTATAAGCCTACATATAGTTTCAAATCATAAATACACCCCCTCCATAAGTTTGGCAACTTAAAGTCCCTGGTTAGACAGCATGTATAAAGTTTGCATATCATGTGTTAAAATATTTTTTTTGTTCCTCATTTATAGACAAAGTTATGACAAATTTGATGAAATTGTTAAAACTGCCAAACATAAACAGAATTTATCACATCATCCAAACAGAAACTTCTGGATGTCAAACTTTTGGAGGGGGGTGTACCTCTCATCATGAAGATTTTAGTTTCCAAATGTTTCAAGTGGTTCTATGTTTGCACTCTGGGCCTTATGCTAACTGGCCCAGATTTCCAGAGAATGGCAAATAATGGCACATAATCTTTAAATTTTTTCTTTCATGTTTTATTTAGAGTAAGTTGTACATGCAGTTGAATGAGTGATCTTTGCAATATGTGCATGTCTCAGATTGTATAATCAATCAACAATACCAATAGTTGACTAACGTACTGCCATATTGGATAAATCCATTCTTCGTTTCATTCTCCAAAGACAAATAGATCAGTTTACACCCAGAATGATCAAAGATTACATAAAATGTTTTTTCCGAACAAACCAATCATGAATACAGCATCAAAGAAACAACTTCCAATTACCAATTTGAACAAAGAATACTGGCCATAAGACCCAATTGACCTTCTTTTGTATCTGATTGTTAGGTGAAATTTTCCAGACAATAATTGGATATACTACAAATTTAAGAATTACTGGATGTAACAGCTATAGTGACAAATAATCGATGGATCTTTACTCAGTCAAATGTATTACATATTCACCATTGTTTGACTTTGAATCTATTAATAATTGCAATTAGGTTACAGTTTAAGAGAAAGTAAATAGGATAAAGAGCTAGGTTGTAGTGATATCCCTCATAACTACCCTTTTCAATAGTTGATTTTTCTTCTTTAAAAGAGAGCTTCGTCTACACTGTAATAATTACCACTAGTCTCTATGCTACAGGTTGTTGAATCTTCAGGGTATTGAATCAAGTAGCACATACTCTTCATGGGACTGTGAAGGGAACATTTCATGGAGGGGTTCTGGATTCTCCTTAAGGAGATGTATATCAGTGAAGCTAAT